GTGCACAATTTTGTATTTGCAATCATCCTCTGTAACTAGCAAGAATATCTTAAAATAATTGTAATGAATAATGTAAAAGGTGCAATATTTAAAATACAGTGAAGTAGCATAACATAAAAAACTCAAATAAAGCGCAAGTACCATTAAATTGTTTCTTAATTAAAGTACTCCACCACTGCTACAGTGATTATGACTTATTTATAATGGGTCTTCACTTGTATAGCACCTTTCTAGTCATCTGAACACTACATGTCACATTCACCCATTCACACACCCATTCATACACACATTCATCCACCGGTGGCTGAGGCTATCATACAAGGTGCCGCCTGCTACTCAGTTTTTAACACACTCACACACCAATGGGACAGCCATGGGGAGCAATTTGGGGTTCAGCCACAAGGATCGGGTGGCCCTATCAGGCGGCTGTGGCTCAGATGGTAGGATAAATTTATATGCATGAAATATTTTCTTTCATCAGACCAAATAGATGACCATATATACAAGTTTGTTTTCCTCAACCTGCCCATTATTCAGGCATGGTAAGAACCAGTAGTGCCCTCAGAATTTCTTCATAGGGTGGTCAGATGGGGCGATTAACAAATCTTTTTTAAATGTGTCATATATCTATACATGTGTCAGGTGATTCCTTGTTGCTTTATTAGTCTGGTTGTCTTTTTCCTAAAAGACAAATGCGTAGCTTTAATTTGAAGGAGTACAGTGATTGTAAGGAACATATTATTTACTTGTGTGTACCCAAAGAACTCCCACTCTGGGGCATCACTGAGTAAGAACTACAGGAGTCTGAGAAAAGTGCTGGAAACATTTGTGAATAAGGAATAAAATGGTTGTTATATATTCCCCCCAAGTTTTAAACTCTTGGTGGCTCATCTGTTATAACTTAGTTCCTCCCGTTCCTATTGGAACATTTGGCGACGAATCCCTTCCACTTGCTCCGGTCCCTGGCAGCCCTTCTTGCACCATGCCAGCTGACACCCATCTCGCTTAGGTCTTCCTTAAACGTCTGTCTCCACGTCTTCTTTGGCCTCCCTCTCTTCCTCTTGCCGCCCTCAGGTACCCAGTCCATTGCCACACTCGCTGGTCTCTCTCTTGGTAGTCGGAATACATGTCCAACCATTCTTCTTCTCCTGTCAGAGACCATGTCAGACAGTAGCGCCACCCCTGCCCTTCTCATCACCTCATCGTTGGTGGTGTGGTCTCGCCATGAGATCCTCAAGATAATTCTGAGGCATCATCAGAAGACATCCAACATGATGGTAATGCTGGCAGTCCTCATCCATGTCTCGCAGGCGTAGGTCGCTGTTGGAATGACCACTGACATATACAGGCGTAGCTTTATAAACTCATGCTGTTTTGGCCTATTACTCAAAACAATAGGACTTTATTTTTAATTCTTAATTTTAGAAATTAAAATTTCCTCAAGGCCAAATTGAGCTTGGCTATGAGCGCAAGTCAGGATCTGAACTGTGTAAATGTTGACAAGGTCCACACAGACTCTGTACTGTAAAGTTGGAACCGGCAGATACAAACTTTTCTATACTGTTGGTGCAGAGAAACATGGTTTCCTCTACATGTAGTGGGGAAGTTCAAGGGAGAGTACACTGCATCTGAGCAAACTATAAACACACCTGTCAGGTTTGTTCATCAGCCACATAATGTTGTTTCAACTTAAACTAAATTCTTATACGCCATGGTTGAGCCAGGGGCTTTCTGTTGTTGTTAGTGTTTCACAATCGGATATTCTAAAAGAAAAAGCATCTTAAAATATATGTTTTCAAAAGTCTCCGCAAGAAAACAAAGAGCATTCTTGTTTTAGGAAAATTACCATCTGCATTATAACATTGTCACTCCTCTATCAGGTCACTTAACCCCTGCTTGAAGGTGTCTTGTTCCAGGAACAGTTCATGATTTCCTTGTTCCGTGACACCCTGCCTGTAGGCAGACAAGTCAAACAGGTCTGACACCAAAGTCAAAGTCTTGGCTCAATGTCACTGCTTTCCCCACCTGTGTTGAAATCCAGTCAAACAAAAGGTTTTTTCAAAGTGTCAAAAGAATAGTTTTTCTCACAGTGTCGCCCATGTGGAACGCTGACATCTGCTGTGTGGACAGACAGAAGCATGAGCAGGGTTTAAGTGTATCCAAGCTTTACACAGTCCAGGGACTTTTCTTGACTTCGAGCTCAGGGGAAGTCCCAGCCTGTTGATGACCAGTCGAACTGGTTCCAGTAAAAACATCACACCATTCTACTATAAACCACCACACCCCTCTCTCTGTTAGTGACATGCTCACTGCTAACACACACTGACCACCAGTATAACCAAGGTCTGCACTTCACACCCCGACAACACAAGGTCAAATACGCAAGACGATGCCTCACACACCCTTACTGAAGATGAGTGAATGTTATCTCCAGGTATGTGCAGCCTTCTCATGTCTGACCAGAGCAAATCAGAGAGTGCTAAGCAGGTATGGTGGTCACTAAGCATGAAGCACAGCTGAGGTTGCAGCTACTTGGTCATAAACCAAACTGATAAAGTCATCAAGGCAAAACTGAAATTTTGAGCTGATGATGGTACCTGATAAAAAAGAAATCAGCACATCAACCTCATGGTGGCGCTGGATGAAAAGTCAGGGGATCACCAAAGTTAGTAGAATTCATCCTCTGGGAATGATGAAAGTCTGCGCAAAATTCATGACAACCATCTAACAGTTGTCTAATAGATCCTTTCAGTCTGAACGAAAGTGGTGGATTGACCAACGGACAAACCATTACTGCCATCCATAGAGCTACGCCATTTAGCATGGCTAGAAGCAGAGATGGATTACTAAGCAGGCCTACAGGGCACAGGTGTGCAAAATGACAGCCCCCTCCTCTGGCCTTTACCTGCAAAATGTTAAACGCACTGACCATGAAGAGACTCAAAAAAAAAAAAAAAAAACACAAAAAGATGCAAAGGAACTGCAAAGATACAACAATGGACAAAACAACTACAATGAGATGCAAAACCACCACAAAGTCTGTCTGGAGAGGTGGTAGGGCCTCTTTTGTATCTGTGCCCAGGGCCCCATTGTCTCATAATCCACCCACGGCTAAAAGCCCAGAAAAATAAAATATTTATGTAAATATTCATGCAATAGTTGACTGGTCTTGTCTCTGTCTGTGTCCTGCTATAAGTGCCATTATGCATTCATTGACAACTCAGAGTCTTCTGGGGGAAAAGAACTATTAACACATACAAAGATCCCTATGTGCACAGTTACGCCCAGGAACATCACCATTAGAGTAGAGACTGGTAGATTTAATGCCACTCCAGAGGACGAAAGAATTGGTTTGTTGTGTAACAAAGGCGAACTTGAGAACGAAGTTTGTCATACTCTCCTGCAAACAAAGACACAATTGATGTACTTTGTAGTAAAATAACCTCCACTTATGTTGATTTATTTTGGTTGGATGGCCATGAACTGGCTGGACCTGGGATAGAAGGAAAGGATTTTGTTTCAGAAAGAGCTGAGCAGTAAGATAACATGTATTGTTACAGTGTCTTGTAAATCCATGAGAATTGGGAAGATTTGTGTGCATGACACAAAATAAAGAAATCAATCAATCATTAGCCTAATCAACCTATAAACCACATTAAACATACTGTGACTAATAATAATAATGAGCCTTGAAATATTAACTTTACAGTTATCAGTCCAGTAGAAATGAGGATGGATTCACTGGACTGTAGCTGTAACACACATTATTAAATGTCCCTGTACTAAATCCTACTTATTATCAGTAATGCTGGCATATATAATTGCAGCCACTGCAAACATATTTTACAGCAGGTATACTCAACTTTTGCAAAATGACAGGAGGCTGGGGGTCAATTGCAGGAGCCCCAAACAGGTATGGTGTATGCATGGGGCGTTTTAAGGATTTGAGGACATTGTGGGCTTAGTTTGGACCTCTGTTGGGTTGTCCAGGGCATTTTTGTGGTAAACAAGCTCTGTTTTATTGCTTTTTTAAAATGCACTCTGGCACCTTATTTACATTAAAAGTACAAAAAATGTCAGTGTGAATTAATTTATCTTCACTGTGAATTAAAAAATGGTCTGGGGGACACCTGGCACCCTACTGCGGGCCAGATTTGGCCCACAGGCTGTAAAGTGAGTATCACTACTGTACAGTACTACACATCTGGAAATATATGGACTTACCTTGGTACTGTCAGAAAAGCCAATTAGCAGCTAGGAAGCCTCAGTAACAATATACAGAAGAGGTGGCTACACAAGTATGAACCATTGAGAGCGCTCAGGTCTTCAGCGACAGGTCTGCTTTGTGTCTTTGTGTTTTTACGCTCCACTTATCTGGAACAATCTCCCAGAAAATTGTTGGTCTGCTGCAACTCAAAGTATTTTAAATCAAGGATGAAGACTATACTGTTTGCCACTGATTTTTATGATATCAAATATTTATTCATTTCTCACACTGCACTGTAACTTTTATGATTGTATTTTATACCTTTCTTAGTATATATTTGAGCTGGTTTTTATTTTCTATTCTCCAGCTCTTTAATGGCATTTTAAATCGTATTTAAATGTCCTTTTATGTGTTTCGTTTGCATTTTGACTCAATGCCTTGCCTTAACATATGGAGGAGTCAGGGTCACACTTCCCATATCTGCAGGATATGAGGGCTCATTGAGATGTTTGAAGAGTGTGAAAATCATGTGGATCATATACTGCAGCTTTTACAGTCACCAGATCTCAACTCAGTTGAAAACCTGAGGGATTTTGCAGCAGTCATTTATGTTTTTTCCTTATTTGTTTGTCACCCGTCTGTGTGCACGGGGTCAAAACATTGTGGTACTATAATTGATTTGATGATGAACCTCCAAGTTGTTCATGTAAATCTAAGAGGCAACAGTGTGGGTCACTATTTCATAGAACCTGTTAGCTGAGGTCACAGCACTCCAATCATCACAGACAAAACCTTTTTTTTTTTTTTTAAATCGTGTTTTATTTTTTACTTCAAAGATAAATAAGAAGCAGATGCTCTCATGTACACAAACACTGATATGATACACGACTGAAACTAAAAAAGTAGTGAGGCAGACCGAGGTCGGCCTCGAGTGTTCTACTCAAAATCCTCTGGTCACATAATCAGAGAAAATAAACTAAAGACTTCACAGTAAGTGTTCAAACAAGTTACACAGATTATTAATATAAATAAATACCTATACAAGATTGTGTTATGTTATAAATTACTGTTTTGATATGGTTATGACGGAGTGAGAATGTCTTTCATTTGCTTGTATGTCACCGAGCTGTATCGGCATTATGTCCATGTTCAACAATGTCCAAAGTCCAACATGAGGTGGTTTCTGCACTCTTGATGCACTCATTGGGGCCTCACATGCTCTGGTCTGAGGTAGACATAGGGGGACCAGGAATCCATCTGGGATTCCATCCACCTGCTGGGGTCATGGTCCTCCATCTGCTCCTCTACCTCCTCTTCCTCATAGGATCCCTCAAATTCATCTTCATCTGAGCCGATCTTCTCTGTGCTGCTTCCCCTGATCCGAGACACCTCTTGGGCCCCGGCCTCTGTTGTGGAAAGGCTGGAGTGACACATGGTGCAGACCCTCAAACACTTAGTTGGGTGAATGTGTCCGATGATCGCTCGCTTCTTGGAGCAGGCCCCGCAGACCACAAAGCCACATTTCCGGCAGTGGTGGCGGCGCTGGGTCACGGTGAACTTGCAGGCGCAGCGCATGCAGACAGCAGAGGCCTGGTCAGGGATCCAGGTGACGGCGAAGGTGGAGCTGGGTGTGCAGCCTGCTCTCGCTAGCAGTCTGGACCGGCAGTCTTCCATGTGCTCGATCCAGGCTCGCTTCTCCTCGTATGAGGCGGCTGCCACGTAGAAGGACTTGCGTGGGGTGCGGATTAACCATTGGTTTCTCATTCTTGCACTGTCCTCCAAGTCCTCCAGCTGGATGTCCTCTGCAATGATGAAGAGACGGTACGTTAACACAAGGTAGCAAAGGTATAGACACTATTGGATGATTAAAAAGCATGTGAGCCATAACAAGAACTTCTTCTTTACAGCTTGTTTTTGAAAGATTACCCACATCCTTTGTTTCAAAATGCAACCTAATCAATGTGACTGTTTGGCTCTTTGTCCTTATTCTTGTTGACCTTTTTCTTTGTGAGTCTGAGGTTAACTTTTAACTGTCAGTGCATTTCAAAACCCTAAAAATGATCAAACAATTACGTCTAATCTTTGTGGTGTTTTGAAGAAGCAGATGAGTTGCTTACCGAGAGGGATGATCTGCTGTTTCTTGTGCCAACGGCCGTTGAGGATGATGCTGCCATACACCAGCACATCGTTGAAGAGGAAGAAGACTTTCGGCTGTGGCCCCCGGCGGCTCTGCTTCACCAGGCGGCCCTCTCCGATCAGAACCCGACCAGGCTGGGACAGGGGCTTCCCAGACGGCCCAAATGAGCACTCCACAGCGTGGATCCGCTCCTGGTTATCCTTATCAAATGTCAGCTGGTGCACCATGGTGTCCATGTGTGTGGTGAGAAGTAGCAGTAGTAGTAATGGTGAGATTCCTGTTGTCAGTGCAGCAGTCTGTGTATTTCTGCTGATGCTTCCACGCCTTTCTGCAGGTGTGAGATGTTTTCATGTGTTCGTCTTGTTTCTGATGAGCCAAGGAGCAGCGCGCTTGCATTTATAGCCGTATGAGCTGGTGACGCAACGGGGCTTTCCAGCTTGCTCAGCTTGTAGACAAACACAAGTTGCGAGAAGTGAGGGGCGGGACAAAATTTGAATTTAGAAAAAGTGACACAACAAATTCTGCAGAAGGAAGTGTCAGATTGGCAACATGTTTACCACAGAAATTCCCTCTCTCATGGGCACATGCTCCTCACTTCCTGCATGATGATTTTGCATATTTGTCATGTCTGTTGACTGAATCTATCAGGGAATCTATCTGACTGTTAGGTGGGACGTCAGGAGGAAATATTCTGACTACTGTAAATACAGAGGAATCTGTGGCTTACACTGTTTACAGCTCATGGATGTACCAACTGATGAACGTTTATTTGTATTTTGCAACCCGTTTCTGCAACCCTAACCCTAACCCATTACATCTGCACTTTATTATATTGCAGATACATTGAAACTTTACATTTCAACAGTGCTGTAGTTGGGTGTAGGCACATAAACCTGTGTCTCTCTTAGGTGACACATTCACAGCAGTTTGAGAAAGAGCTTCTGCTCGAAATGTCACGTAACGCAAATAAATTTCCTTGTTAACGGGAGCTCCTTGGTGTGCGGATCTTCCTCATTTTCTTGTAAGTCTCTTAGGTGATACACCATCCACATCCCCCCTAACCCTAACCCAATCCTAACCCAGAACCTGGAAAAACACAGCAGCAATCCCCTAAACCATCAGAGAGATAAACCTTCCCACTGTGACCTATAGCTATAAATAAAATACCACTGACCTGACGAGAGCTCACATTTCATAAACAGATGGTTTGTCAGACTGGTCGAGCAGCTCCGCCAGCAGCTGGAGGGGAAAAACAAAAAGATGTCAAATGGCTTCATGCTGCCAACTCATCTGTCATCTGTGGTGTGGACTTTCTGCTGTTCGATCCAAGTTTACTCAGTCATTCTTCCTTCCAGAAACTGGCGGTGTTAATCAAACACAAACAGGTGTATGCCTTTAGTAATCACACCCAAAGTATTAGCAAGGTGGCACACAACACATGCTCATAAAACACATTCTTACCGTAAGAATAATTTGGCAGATAATTAAACAGCTGAAAGGCAACACAGCTCATTATTTTCCCACAACCACTGTTACTTTATTAACATTTGCCGAGGGTGATGTTTTGTATGGGTGGCACAGTGATGCAGTGGTTAGCACTGTTGCCTCACAGGAAGAGGGTTCCCGGTTGGAGCCTGCCCTTCTGTGTAGAGTGTGCAGGATCTCCCCTTGTCAGAGGGTTTTCCCCAGGTGCTCCGGCTGCCTCCCACAGTCCACAGACTGCAGGTTAATTGATGTTAATTGGTGACTCTAAATTGTCCGTTGATGTGAATGTGAGTGTAATTGGTTGTGGACAGTTGTATGTCGGTCTATTCACACTTAGCACTAGAATGCGTCTCCACATAGTGAACACTTGTGATTGGATCTGACTTTCCTGCTCTGTATTTACATAAACATAGCAACCATTTCCGATTGCAAAGACTAAATGCATATTGTTTTTAACCAGCGGGAGGTTTGTAGAGCTATACACACGCTTAAAGCCTGAATTGTTTAAAATTAATACATTTTATTTAATTGTTACACTGCACACAGTGTGGCCCAGGACACTTTAGTGTTCACACAGCTGAAAGAATGTGGCCATATGAGGCCCAGACCACCTCTGAATGTGGTTTGTGTGATCAGATCATAATGTGTCTCGGTGGTCGTTTACACTTGGATTTACTGTGTCCACTTTTGATCAGCTCACCTGAGACGCAAGTTAATACCTGGTAAAACCAGGCTCTGTGTGTCTGGCCACCTGTCCAGGGTGTGCCACACCTCTCACCCATTGTCAGCCTTGATAGGCTCCAGCCTGTGGTGCTCCAGTGGTGACAGAGAATCAATGAATATTTTGTATTATGCAGTTGAAATAAAGTAACAGGCCTTTTTTTCCACAGCAGGCTGTTTGACTCGTCATATAAAAGGAAACACACAGGTTACCACAGGATTTCTACAATAGATACTAAAATGTTATGCTTTTGAGACAATTTTTTAAGCAGATTTAATTTTTGGACAAATAATCTTTTTCTTATTCAAGCATTGCAGGTAAGTATAAAGTTAGGTAGGTGCAGAAGTAGGTTATTAGAGTGAGTTGGGTTAATCTACTTTTTGCTAACAGGTAAGTGTAAGTAACCTAAAGCAGTCGTTTTCACACTATTTGTGCCCAAGGCACACCAAACGGCAAGCCAATATTATCAGGCTAATAACTATGCCAATGTGTGAACGGTGAAAAATAGGTCCCCAGCTTGAAGGTTTTTTAAATTAAATTAAATTATAGTTTTTAGCTAGAGCCTCTTGTGACGGCCCCAGGGCCTCCACTAGGGTTTGGTGTTGGTGTTGTGTTAGGTTCTTTTGTTTCAGAGTGCTGGTGGCTTGATTGGTCGTGTTGATTGGAGGCAGCTGGCAACTGTCTCCAGCCCTTTAAAATGCGCCCTCCTGGGAACTTGGTGCCTCTTCTTTTTCCCCCTGGCACCATGCTGCGTTGATTGCATTTACTTTAGTTTTTGTATAGTTTAGTTTGCATTATAATATTTGGTTATATTGTTTATTCTTGAATTTTTGTTAAAATAAATTACTTATTTTTATGTAACTCCCCATGTTTCCTTATTTGTGATGGTCTTAGAGCCGGACCATAACACTCTTTCTTCGGAAATGGGTGCACAAAACATACTGATACACTAAATTAAAAATTAATTCCTGATTTTTTGTACAGTTGAATATCGCAATAATAATGTGTGGTTATCATAAAGCACAGCACACCTGGATTGGCATCACGGCACACCATTTGAGAACCACTCATCTGAAGTATTAGGTTCAGTGGTAGGATTAGAGATTTGTTAAATCATAAATGTGACCTTCAACGCAGATGAGCGTGACTCATTTTGGGAAAAAGAAATCAAAAGATGGAGAAATGATATTTGACAAAATGTTAATGACCTCACAGATTCTAGTACAAGACTATTTACATGACCATTAAGGTCTAACATTTATAAAATTGAATTAAAGACATTTTAAGACTTTCTGAAGGACCTGAAGACACTCTGCACTTATAGCATTAATGATGACTCTGTTGCTTCAAAGTGGCCCTGTAAGATATGTCAATAGGTGTTTCTCAGATAAAAGGACCTTTAACAGCTGAATTTCCAGGATGCAACATCATCACTTCCTGAGGGACTGTTCCAGTGTCAGGGATTCTTTGACTTCTACCGAGTCCTTCCTTCAGATAATATTCTAGGATGCATGTATGCATTCTCAGCTGGCATCCAGTAACCACAACTATTTGTGCACAATTTGCCGTAACTGAAGGTGGGGCCTTTTCAGCGACACACACCTTGGCACTCACTAGCCTGTTCCAATGTGTGTTCACTGAATGCTAGGAAGGAGTCTTGCCTTGCCTCTGTAGGACCCGACCTGAAAGGACCCGTCTGACCAAGGAAGCATCCTTGACTTTGAAAAGTGATCTGTAAGCAGGACCCTGAAACTGAAGCAGCTATGTAAATGGAATTCAACCATCATTCATTTTATTATTTACACCTCTGCTTTTCCTAATTTCTTCATGTAATGCTTCAAAATGTCTGTCATGGAAAAGTTTTGGTAAGTGGATGCCAATAAACAGAATGATACAATACTTAACATTTTTCCAAAGCAACAGTGCGAGTCATTTTAACCTCACACCTGGTTAAAGTGTAGTGTCACATTTTCCCTTTCATGTCTCCACACCAACTTCCTCTTCAGTTCCTCTACTCTACTCACTGAGAACTAGTACCTCCCTTTAGGGTACAAATTAAACCAGGAGAGTTACTGGATGTGTCCACTGGATCCATCAATTTCATACTTCCTTTGCTAAAAGTTACATCGGGGCTATTTCGTGCTTATCAGGGGCGTCCAGAGCGACTCGCTGCCTCTGGAAACTCCTGAAAAACTTAACTAAACATGTTGATCAAAAATGACAACAGATTTATTAACCCTTTGAAACGTGAGCAAATTGGCCTTTTTTTCCCCCAAAACATGGGAAGAAGGCGATAAGCAACAAAAGAAGAAATGACCCAAAAAATTACCAAGAAATCGGTAAAAAGAAAATTAAAACGAAATATTTAGAAAGAGTTAAAAACAAACTAACAAACAACTAAATAACCTGGGAGAAGAGCTTAAAATTATAATAATTATGTAACATAATCTAAAATATATAATAATGACCATTATAAATATAGTTTTTCCCTTGATTTTTAAAAATAATTTTCTAATTCTATAAAAAAATTTGCAACTTGTGGAATTGCCCTTTTTCCCCCAATGTTTTTGAAAGAAACTGCACCAATTTGCTCAAGGTTCGATGGTTCAAATACTTGCAAAGGGCGTCTGGAATTAAATTTTTTTCCCTTTACATGTCCTAAAATACATACACATGCTCAAACAGGATCTGTACATGTGCATTAAATGGAGGGATGTCAGATTGAGGGGCAGAGTGAGTTCCAAAGGAACCAAACCAGAGCACAGGAGGCAAACTGGCACTTCAACAGCTACCAGTCTGCACTCCAAACTTGGACACGTACAAGCACTTTAACTAGCAAACCTCTACTTCCCAAGCCTAGTCCCTATTAACTGAGCTACTGCCGCCCCATGAACTCTCTGCATCATGCACACACGGCACTGAACCCAGACACGCATGTATTTTTGTCTTGACATGATATAACACACCTGACAGTCTGGATTCTGCAGTCTTAATCTTTATCAGTAATCTGATTCTGATCTGAGTGAAACCTTCACCTGCATGCTTCTCTCTAATGAGCCCACACAGCTGTCTTAAAATAGCATACGGGTTATAAAAGTGTTTGTCAAGGCCAAAAAGTACAAGTCTGCTCTGTCAACGCACAGACGCCTCCAGCTCAGCAGTATCGATAGCATGTGGTAGACGAGTTCTCTAACAAGGGACTCTGGGGAGCAGCAACATGTGAGAAGCAAACCAGCACTTAGGTGCACGGATAGCCCCGGGAGCAGTTAAAGAAGTTCAGGAAAGTACACAGACAAAGAGTTTGTAATCAGGCTGGAACAGCTGACAGCCTGCCACGTTTCACACTGTCTGCTATAGAAAGGTGCAGACAGACGTTTGTGCAGTTACAAGTGTTCGCTCCGTTCTATACTGCACAATAAACACTAAATAATAAAACAAAATGAACTAAATAGTGTTTCTGACAGCGAACATTTGCTCCATCTGCCAGCTTGCATGAGCTCATCCTTTTTAATTTAAATGTAATCAATCACTTTAATGACTCCCACTGACGAGAGCTGAATAGAATAAAGCAATAAAGCCTGCTGTTTAAACTGAACTGGTTTGCAGCTGTTTTGAACTCAGAGCAAACCACGCCAACATTCACTGAACAGGGATGGGTGACTAAGTGTTGGTGCAACTTTTCTTTAAGGAATTACACGTTAAACTTTATCACCTTTATAGCTTTCAACCAGGACCTTCAGTATTTGCATCAAGTGGCTCGTTAAAAATAAGATTGCTTCAGATTCAGTACAGCTGTCATTGTGTCAGATATGTAATTAATCAACATCAAAGTTCATATAAATATCTAAACTGGACTCTGAGTCTGCAGATTAAAGGAACTGGATTTTTAATTGAGGCCTTGACATCCCTATAAATGTGTAGTTTCCAAGCCCAAACTGATGACATCATCCTGACATACAGGACATTGTATGACTGTTTTTACGAGCTGTTTAGCACTCCTCATGACAAGTAAACAGATTCAGAGTGTGCAAAATTGGTGGAGTTCCCCTTTAAAACAAGGCAATACCTATATGTCAAAGGCATCCATATTCAACGAGGTGAAAACTGAACCAAAAATAAATAAAAAAATAATTCGTCAGATGGAGATTTATGGTCCCACAGACAGCAAATGACCACAGCACACCTGCTGCACATTGGCCACTGTTGCTGCAGTTCCTTCTGACTGCCAACGGAGGGCAGTGGAAGTCTGTAATGTCTCTCCTGTTGAGCTGCACTACATCCTGTAGCAATGCATCACAAGTCGATGGTTCCTCTGACTTTAAACTTCTTGGCCGAGCGTTCGCTGGCTCGCTGCTCAAACTTGCTTCCATAGATGTAGGAGACGAAGCCGTTGGTCTCCACTGAAAACACACTGTTCCTCTTGGGGATCACTGTTACAGAACAGGAGGAGGGTGAGAAAAAAAACAGAGTGTTAATCTCATAACGTGTATCATTAACACTGCCATTAGTGCTGAAACAGGTTCTGTCAAAGACTGGAAGCTTTAACTGTAATCTGGTTTAACAGCACATCGTATCGTGACTAAATCCTGATGTGGTGGTTCACAGTTCTCATTTCTGAAGTTAAATTTTACCAAACTGGTTCAACTTTTTAACACGTACTTTTCAAATGACGTAAAAAAAAAAAAATGCAGAAAGTGACTTGTCATAGCAGGAAGAGTACATCAGATCTTAAAGTAAGACTGTCTGCACTGTTATCTGCAAGTAATCGATCTGATTTGTGTGTCCTGACATTACCAGCCTATCTGCATGGACTGCTGTGGAAAAGGTGTTTGTGCCAGTAGCTAAATAGCTACGCTGGTGATGCAGTTTCCCAACACAGACGCATGATAAATAGAGGTACAAGACCATGGTATTCACTCCTATTTATTTCGCCGTCTGTACAAGGACTGTTGTTGTCCATGCTGTCTACTGCTCAGCATCTCCATCACTCTGGATCTGTTGTGTGTGTCACATTCAACGACACTGAAATCCATTATGAGCGACCAGAGTGTCCCGACTGAGACACATCTGCAGAAATCTGATTGCAATTGCATTTTAAAACAACTGTGGTTGGATCTGATTTGCAAAAGTCATGTGGCTTCATGTGTTTTTTTGATGCCCTGACTTTCTAAAATCAGTACTGACCCACATACATGGAATGCAGTTGTTTTTGATTTCATCAGTTACATCTGTGCTTTTCCTGCTCTGATAAGTCAAAATGTCCTCTGCGAAATGGTCTATGCATTCTAATGTCACGCATCTCTTCACAAAAAGTTCGAGAACTATTAATATTGTTACAACTTTGTCCGAATCGTTAGTTTGGACGACAGAGTTTTGAAAACTCTTAACAAACAAGAGCAAAAACATGAGCAGCTGAAATCTCAGTGAGAGAGACACGTCCTGCTGTCTCACTTTTCAGTCTGTTTTCTTTGGTGATGAAATTGAAAACATGTTTCAACTCCTGGACCAGAATCCCTGTAGTCCCGACATATGATGGGCACTTAGACCGGACCACTGGGAGAGGGAAAACAAACTGTTAGTACGACACTGTCACAGCTGCGTCTGTTGGTGATGGTTTAGGGTGGTTAGTAGTTCTTACACTCAACTCACATAAAAACACAGGCTGCTGTTTACAAAAAGGTAATCAGATCATCACTTAAGTATGTATATGCAAACAACAGGTACTTTGTATGGTTTCACAGTAAAGCACAGGTAACAGCGATCAATAAGATAAACCGTTCAGTGGGTCACAAGTCCCATTTAAACTGTACATCAATTCTCATCTTCATACAGACATAAACATGAATCCTTTTTACACCTGACTGGACAAACTCAGCTCTCATACCAACTGACACCATGCTGGTCTCATAACAGGCTTTGATCGATAACTTATAAAGTGTATTTGATATGAAAAAAACCTCCTGGATTCCTTGGAGATTTGCATTTGCAGAAAGTGGGCACTGAGGGTTGTTAAGTTCCTCCATGAGGTGTGTGTCACAGCCTCTGTTGCAGCTTCAACTGCTGAACGTGTCGATAAGAAGGCAAACTAAGATAACTACTTCTGTTGTTTTTACTGCACCTGCATGCATGTGTCCCTTTCACCTCACACAGTATCTTTAGAAACATCACCTGCATAGTTTGAAAACTGCTGATGGAAATATTTGCTGATCACTCTGGACACAAAAGATTTTCTTTGGTGATTGTTACAGACTGTGGCAACAACTGAACTTGAGACGTCTAGCTGTGCGAGGTTAAACTCATTATCTTTACTAAGGTGGAGGAAAAAATTTATTTTTAGATACATCGCCATTCTCTCTTAAACTATTGCATCTTAAAGATATTTTTAATGGGCATTTTTTGCCTTTAATTGATAGGATGGTGAAGTGTGAAAGGGGGAGAGAGAGAAAGAGGGAGAGACATGCAGCAAAGGGCCACAGGCTGGAGTCGAACCCGGGCTGCTGTGTCAACAGCCTTGTACATGGGGCGCCTGCTCTACCACTAAGCCACAGACGCCCCGAACTACTGCATCTTGATGCAGCAAAGTCAATAATCGGAAATTTAAAACCCAATTCTCACCATTATGATAAACAACTTTATAAGCATGGGCTGTATGTTCCTTACAGCTCATGTAATCGGATGGTGAAACATCACAGACCGAAATGTGTGTTGCATTCTGCCTGGAAAACGTGAGGTCAGGTGCTTGGTGCTACTTCTGTGCCTTTTTTGAGCCAGCTTTCAAGTGCGGCAGGTTGCGTCTGAGGTTGCTAAGCAACCTTAACAAGCACCATATCATAGCCTTTTAACCTGAAATCCTGAGTGCAGAGCTGATCTTCTTCCAGGAGCTGTTTATAAGTGTGTAGGCCTATCGTCTGTGGGACAGATGTAGAGCTCTGGGTAGCCCTTCATCAACATGATCAACTTTTCCATATTTACCACAGACTGATATTTATGGAAGAAGGAAAAGACATTTGTAGGATGTGACTGGTTGTTCTACGTCACATGACATGCAGCATGGGCTGCTGCGTTCCAAAGTTGAACTTGGTTTACCTTTGGGCGCAGCCATCACAACCTGAAAAGTAGCCGCTCTGGAATGTGTGCATGTCACAATGGTGTTTAAGTTTTAAAAGTAGCAATTAGTCGAACAGTAAGAAAAAATAAATCTTGTACAGAAATTAGGGCTGCCCCAGACTAAGAATTTTCCTCGTCGACCAAAAGTCGTCATTTAGGGCCATTAGTTGACTAGTCGCCTGCATGTTTATGATATTAATGTAATGATTAAATGATATATTTTGGTGGTTTGAGTTGAAGGTGTGAGAAAGAATAGTATCAGTAACATTGTTAACACTGTGCTACATTACAGAGAAATACAAACCGTACTAATGAACCTTCATTAATATAGGCCTATATTTTATCTCCAAGTGCACGTCACACACTGAGCGAGCCGCCTATTAATGACGCTGTGGGCTAATGGGCATGTAGCTACTTCCATGTTTCAGATGATACGTCATGTTTGTAGTCGACCAATGAAGATGAGTTTACATATCACCTTGGGTTCGTCCTTCACCTTCTCAAAATGATCCCACACTTTGGATTTCCTGCCTGACATGTTATTAACTAGCCTGTGGAATAACCGCAGGTACCAGCCCTGGAAATTAACCTGACTGATTAACGACACTGTGATGTTAATTTTAGAGAAAACTAAACATCTACCTGTGAGGATGGCACCATGGAAGTCTGCCTTCAGGAGCTTCTGTTGCACAAACTGTGGAGTGCTGAAAAAGCACAACACATGAAGCTAAAGTAATACAGACTTATGAAATCGCTTCAAGTGAGCTGTTCATGAGGAATGTCAGCGTCTGTGGAACTCCAAACAGATTTACCTTGTTGGTTTAAATCCACCACACAGGTCAGTGATGTACTGTTTCCAGTGTTCATGCAGAGGCAGGAAAAGCTCGTATCTACAACGATAATGACAAAGACTGTGATGCTGAGGAGAGAGGAGGGGCTGAAAACTGCAGGCTACATGGGAAATGCACCACAGTCAATTCTGAAAAGAATATTTTGACATGGTCATGTACATCAACTATCCAGGCACATGTTTTCCTATCCTTCAGATTCCCCACCAACCTCTGGTGCTCAGGTTTGATCTGGAAGATCTTCATCGCCCTCTTCTGCCGAGCGTTGAGTCCTTTGGCTTTCTTGCTGCTCCTCTTGGACTTGTCCTTCTTGGACGTGGCGTAGCCCAGTATCAGCGCCTTGTGACTCAATATGCCCTGTACATCCTGTTGTGTGTTCGGCAGAATGCTGTTCTTCAGGAATGCCCGGGTGAAGGCCCCCGCTTTAGAGGGGGTCTGAGACTGGAAACCAGACAATGGCACAGAGGACATTTACAGAGAAGTGAATCTGCAGACAGCACATTAAAGACTTTGACAACATGACTGAAAACTGCACAAGAGATCACACACGGTTTAGTTACACTATACAGCACATCATGTGACCACTGAGTAGGGATAGACCGATATGGATTTTTTTAGGGCCGATGCCGATTTTTTTCCATCACCCTTAGCCGATGACCGATTATGGACTGCCGATTTTCTTGAGCCGATATTTGGGGCCGATACTGCTTTTGCTCCCTCAATTTACATAAAAAAAATGACACAATGATAACAAATATTACAGGTCTCAAGTTTAAAATAAGAAACATTTATTGAACAGTAAAAAATACTACAACAAGATGGAAAGCTGAGGTAGAACAGGTAGAATATTATTATTATTATTATACATTCAAATAAAAAAAAAGAGTTCAGTGCTCTTAAATCTTCCAGTAATGTCTTTATAAAATAAACAAATATTTAAGCTGAAGCATAAATAAAACAACAACTACTGTACACAGTAGGATTCAACAGCTTTGTTCAACTTAACCACATACTTTCAAATGAAAAAAAGTGCCAGGGAAAAATAAATCCGCGAACCCACGCGCGTATCGGCCGGCCGATGTATTGGTCTATCCTTACCACTGAGCGCTATCTGCTTACCTCAACACCAAGAACCTTCACCAGTTCCCGAGGAATCGGGGCTCGAACAAGTCTTTCTGTTCAAAGGACACAAACAAAACTAGTATTACACAAAACCTAATAAAAAAATCAGAAAATAGTGAAAAATCTTGTTCATAATAGCAACAGTCCAAAACCAAAAGATTATCAGTTTACAATGACATAACATAGAGAAATAGAAGCAGGGGGCTGACACTGTTTGGTAGATAATTGGCTTATGTGATTAATTATCAAAGTTGTTGTCAATTAAATATGTTGACTAATCAAGCTCTAAGGTCAGTATGACCATTCGGGCTGCAACGATTAGTCGACTAATCGATGACTAATCGATTATTAAAATAATCGGTGACTATTTTAGTAGTTGACTACTCTGCACTATAAAAGTACCCAAAAATACTCTTATTGCAGCTTCTTCTTTTTTTTTTTTAATATATGTTTTTGGGCATTTTGCCTTTATTGGACAGGACAGCCAAGTGTGAAAGGGGGAGAGAGAGGTGGGGATGACATGCAGCAAAGGGCCACAGGCTGGACTCGAACCTGGGCCGCTGCGGCTTTATTGCAGCTTCTTGCGTTCAAATATTGGCAGCTTTACACACCCATGACTGTGAACTAAAACCCTTTGGCGTGAGTATGAAACAAGACATTAGATGACATAAATCTTGGGGTTTGGGAGAGACAGACCTACATTTTTTAACACATTTTGCGATAAAATGATTAGTTGACTAATCGAAGAAATAATCGACAGATTAGTTGACAATGAAAATAATCGTTAGTTGCAGCCCTAATGACCATAATATAAAATTCCCTTATTTCCTTCTTTCATGAACACCAATTTATATTACAATCTGATCATTATTTTGCTGTAAATTCAAAACCTTTTCAGGAAAAGTTATTGGATTTTGGGATTTTTAAATAGTTTGTTATTGTTTGAGGACTAGAAAGCTATACTAAAAACTTCAGGTTCTCTAGAGAGTGTGTGAGTACTAAATAAATAAAGCCAAAGAACCACCAAGAACTTAGACTTTTACTTGGACTCTGACCTCAGCGGGGGACACTCACTTTGAAAAGGTGGTGAGGAAAGCCTGTAAACGGCTCCTTTTTCTGACTGCTCTCGTCAGACATGGCCTCCCCAGCGAGGGCCATGTTTCCATCAACACTGCTGTGATCAGGCTGTGTCTGGAGTATAGCGCTCTCCTTCTGGTAAGATGCAATTAAAGTCTGGAGAGGGTGCAAAAGAGGGCCCACGGGATCATCTCCAGAGGCTGCACCCTGCCACCGCAACTCCCATCTCCTCAGAGCAGGAGGGAACAGGGAGCCACTCAGCTGGTCAAAGAGATGACTCATGTACAACATCCTCTCCATGATTTGCTCCCAAACATGAGCAGACTGTACCAACAGGTGGCTACAGAGCAGCAACTCATCCAGTGCAGAATAAACAGGATGTAAGCAGCAACCCTGCCTTCAGCAATCAAACTGTACAATACAGAACTGAGTGAAACAAAAGATAGATAGCTGAGGGTTTTGGGGTTCTTCTCTAGTATGTTGTTGATGTTATGGCAATTTAAATGTATGCATGGTTGTATATAAGTGTGTGATGTATGGGTGTATATAGATATGTATAGTTTAAATATTTTTATATTATGTAAAATCATATATAGGTATTCTGCTTTTTAAATGTAAATTCTGTGTCTCAAACTCAAGAAGCTACCAACGGGAAAGCTTTCAACTTTCTTCTAACCTGTTGACTTTTTCATGAAGGTGTTGGATGTCCATGTTTTGGGGTGAGCAATTTACACACATCACTGAAACTCCACCGCTGGAAAAGCCCCATTCTCTCATCATTTTAACATGTAGATAGGTTTTAGGACAAGCCATTGCATGACAAGTACAGATGCTGAGAATGACCTAAATACCTAAATGTCACAATGACAGGTGTCAACATGTGCCCGGGATTTTACTTTTTGCGCTGACTGGCAATAATGTGAAGGAATATCCTGATTTCTGTGAAGACAGGGACTTTCTGTGACATTGATGAACGAATATCTCAGATGTGCTCAGATAACCTCTCCACAGTCAGTGCGTTGCATAAGCGAGGTTAAATAACATGTCATACCTTCACTGATTTACAATTTAGCTTCAGGGGAAGCAAATTAAAAGTATTAACAGCAGCTGCTTTAACAGCCAGGACGGTGTGAACGGGACTGTCAAAGACAGTCTTTTCAGAAAGAAGACAAACGTGTCCGACCAGCTACTGCAGGACTTTTCTGTACAGTCAGACTGAGAAAGTACAGAACCGTTTACTACTGTTCTGCTGATAACAGCAACAACCCCCAGGCAACAATGATGTAACCAACATCTCCCCCAAAAGTTCAGACACTGGCTGATGTGCTTCATGAAGGGCTTTCATGACCCAGACAAACAGGTGGAGCATCTTTTTCTGACTGAAATGTGTCAAGTATCAAAATGTCCCATACTGAAAGCTGCGATCAAATGTCTGGTCAGATAGTTCCTGATTTCAATTATAATCTGGCTAATTTATTTAGGCAAAGATCTTGTACAGGAGTAACATGTATTAGCTGACAAAGTAAGCTTCTTTTGTGAAAGGTGCCTTAGGCCCTGATCATACAGAAAGCATTTTAGCCACTGGAGGCAGCTTTTTCTAATTGTTTCTAACGAGGATGAAGTTTTTTGCTCGTTGTTTTTGCGTTGCTACACACCTCATGTTTCTAGGTGCCTGGCGTTTTTGCAGGAGTGCTCTGAACTCCCTGAGTTGAAAAAACTGAACCTCAGTGTGGAAAAGCGCCCCATGTCATCTTCATCATCTTTTTTCCCCATTGTGCAATCTGATGATTTGAGAAGCAGGCCTTCTGTGGTGGTCACGAAAACAAGTTAACAGTTGGTAAACAATGGAGGAGAAACTGGTGGTGCCCCCCATGATCCACCCTCTTTTTTAGGGTCTCATGTACCCACACAGATCTGTGTTTACCTGTGACCAACAAACTATTTGCTGACAGCCTCTCACCCTCAACCAGAGCTACAGCATGTACCCTGTGCTTTGCATTTTGCAACCTGCAAAAGCTTTCTGTGTGATCAGGGCCTTAATCTGTGGCATCATCAAAATGTAAAGTCTAGGGATGCACCGAAAAGAAAATTTGTGGCCGAAGCCGAAGCTGAATAATATTCAACGCTTGGCTGAATACCGAATATTGTTGTTTAGTTTTTCATTAGTTTTTGCAGATGAACCCCCTCCAGATTAGTGTTGTCACGGTACCAAATTGGATCCCACTGTGCGATACCAATGAAAATATCATGGTTCTGAGTAGTGTCACGATACCACAGCGAAAATGAGGCAGATGTGCCTTTTGTCATTTATAAAAAGATAAATCACTTTTCTATAATACATCAATGATATTTCATTGGAATAAATTACTTATTGACTTATTCATACTTCAAAAACAGCATCAATTAGTGATTAACATAGGTGGGATTAAAATAAAATAAATAAATAAAATAAGAATCAACTAGCCACCCTCCTCCCCTTCATAAGTAAAGAACAGTCCCTTCATAAGTAAAGAACAGTCCCTAAAGTGTGGTGAGGTTTGTGGGCCGTTACCTTCCACTGAAAGACTAAAAGAGAGAAATGTGAACGGCTCGTTTCTCCTCTGATACGCCACATACTGCGTGCCGCCATGGCTCGGCTGTACAGGTACTTTTGGGCAGTCATGACAACAAGTTATTCACCTGGAGCCGGACTTCTCCGTCGCCGGTAAGCTGTTATCATACGCCGCTGTATTTGACAGGAATACGTATTCCTGTCCGTGTCTGTGACCCCCGTTCAACACACAACCGGCGGGATTTGCCGTTTCGTTTCTGCTGCTGGTTAAAATCTGTACTCACACAGCGTGCTGAATGATTTATTTTGCCCGCACAAAACTATTTTTAGTCGCAAATACCAGTGCGGTGATGGACGGAGTAAAATATCGCCACACTGCCGACATTTTACTCCGTCCATCACTGCACGCTGTTTGATTGCGTTATCAAAACACACCGCTGTTATTCGGCCTTGCTTTTCACTTATTCCACCGAATACCGAATGTGTTTTTTTTTGCAATATTCGGCCGAATATATTCGGTTACCGAATATTCGGTGCATCCCTAATAAAGTCTATGAGCTGAGCAAGAACTCGCAGGCAGAGCCAGTGAGAGAGACCCTACTGCACCTTTTCAGAGGGCCTTATAACGCAGAAGGAAACCCAGAAGCTAGAAATGCTGTTTGGCGTATGGGCAGGCCAGCAGTTCAACTGGACTGAATAGGTGCCATCGTGGAATCTTGTATCGAGTTATTATCGCACATCTATGGCAACAGCCACAGAGCCCACAAAAAATCCACTGGATGACGTGTTTCACATCATGAATTTGAGCGGAGAGGTGAGCAGGGAGATCTGGGTGCTGGCAACATGGAGGGAAGTTGACCACAGTTCATATACACATGGTACCCACACTGTTATGGTACAAAATAGACAGACATGCATATCTTCTTCAGTTACTATCAGTACAGAAACTGGAGGATGAGAAAGAGGCAAACCTTTCTCACATCAGACATATTGATTCGTTGAGGCAGGAAAAGTACAGGCGGAAATAATACCATTTATTGAGACTGTTCCAGTCTCATGTGGCAGAGAGCCATGTCACTGAGCCAGCATGAACAATACCAGCATGCTGGCATTGGCACACAGCCGTGTTTGTTTGAAAGTATGAATGCAGGCGAAGTGGAAAATTACTGAGAGGTACTCACTTAAGTAGGTTAAGCCTTCCATTTTTAACATTAATATCGTTATTAACTACATCTAAATAAGTCAAGTGTTACAGAAATGTAAATGAGGTGCCATCCTTTATAACTTTTGTCGATGTGTTCTGTCATTACTGTAGCCTACTATGTGCTTGTATGTATTTCTGTTTTACCATCAGCAGTACCTAGCCAAGAGATAGTTTTGTTGTATTTGTGCTCTTACTTAAAAGGGATAGTTCACCCCAAAATCAAAAACACATTTTTTCCTCTTACCTGTGGCTGTATTTATCAATCTAGATAGTTATGGTGTGAGTATTTGAGATATCGGCCATAGAGATGTCTGCCTTCTCTCTAAACAGGTCATTCACTCCGCAGACATTAATTTTATGCACACTGTATTGGTATTTTGAACATTAGAGTATAAAGGCAGGAACAACATTGTTGCCGTCAGGTGTTTCACTCCATAAGAGCAAAAGGTTTTTGAGCGCTGTGGCGCAGGACAGTGTGCAATGTGCTGAAATCTGTGTTCGATTTGGATGAAAGATAAAGAAATGAACATTTATTCAACTTGTGTTTGCTGGTATGAATAAATACAATGACTGTTTGCCAACTGGAACCTGAAGTTTATCGTCTGAACTCAAAACAAGGAAGCTGTGGCATCAACCGAGGAAAGTGCGTCAGCCAGGTCAGGTCAGGTGAAACATCTCTGTAGCTGCAAGTAATAGACTTAGCTCCCACAATTTAACTAGATGTCACTCAGTATGTGCAGAACTCAGCTGCAAGGGTTCTCACCCGGACCAAGCCTTGGCAGCACATTAACTCCACCCTTAAACACCTACACTGGCTTCCAGTCAAGTTCCGCATCTCCTTCAAATTCCTCCTCCTTGCCTATAAAGCTCGCCATGACCTTGCCCCACGGTACCTATCAGACCTCCTCACTGATTACACCCCCTCACGGAACCTGCAGCCCGCTGACTTGGGTCTCCTCAACGTCCCTCACACCAGTAGGCTAACATTTGGGGACAGAGCCTTCAGTGTGGCAGCCCCAACCCTCTGGAACTCTCTCCCCAAGGAGATTAGCCAGGCGCCAACACTGGACATTTTTAAATCTGCATTGAAAAGACACCTGTTCACCCTGGCTTTTGGTTGCTAGATTGTTATTTTTGTTGTTGTAAAGTGACCTTGGGTCTCCTGAAAGGTGCTATATAAGTTATTATCGTTATTATTATTTCAGCTTGTGGTGCTTGAAATGCCAAAAAACACTTTTGAAAAACTCAATGTCTCTTTTCAGTAGATGCACGCTTCCTTCATGTGCAGTGATACAGTTGGCAGGCGTAGCTCGATAGCAAGAAAATAGTTTCTACATGAAACTGCTCACAACAAGGTCTGTGGATTATCTTGAGTAGCCGGGTCATGATTTCTGCAAAGAGACATTTCTGCTGAGTTTTTCAAATGTTTTTATTTGGCACTTTAAGCACCACAAGCTGAGTGCCATCTAGTTCCATTATATTGGAGAGAAGACAGACATCTCTACAGCTGATATCTCCAACACTCAGCAACTCACACCAATCAAATCTAGATTGGTAACCAGCACTAGAGCTAAGAGGAAAAATATGTGTTTTTGATTTTGGGGTGAACTGACCCTTTAAATATCATTGTGAATGCAGGACTTATGTTTGTAACAGAGTATTTCTACACTGCAGTGTAGTTACTTGTGCTTTCAGAGTACTTCTTCCTCCACTGCTTTCACAGCGTGCCTACACAGATATTATTAAGATAAGGAGGACATTTTGTCGGTTGTGACATGAGACTGATAAATGTCGGATTCACGTGTCAGCATTTATGAACTCGCCCTTTAAATCACAACCTCGCTTCCCTCTTCGAAGATTAAACTCACCGTCCATTTCCACGTTTCTGCGGACTCCCTGAAGAAACCGTATTACATTAAATACCCGTCCTGACTGCAAGAGACACTTTCAACACATGCGATTTGAACACAACATAACTTCACTTCCTTCCTTCTTCTTCTGCAGCTCTTTTTCTGGGGGGTTTCCGGCAGACTGTCTGCTGCGGGGCGTAATGTCGCCCCCTACAGTCAAAACCGCCCATTACAAGTACTGTCTACTTCACAGTTTTAAATTAAAGACACATTCTGACGTGATGGTCAGTCTTTTCTTACAGAACAATGGATTTAAAGAAAAAAAAATTATAGACTTGTTTTTTCATTGTCTAATCAAGTTGTGCTGGTGCCATCATCCACATCCTGCACACTCTGTAATCCATGTGCAAAATTTTGTGTGCAAAATGTCATTCAAATTAATACTAACCAACCACGAAGAGACACAAAATGATCACAAAGCTATACTGCAGAGAGACACACAAATAACTACAGCAAAACAACCACAAAACACTACAAAGAGATTAAAAAAACAACAACAACAACAACAACAACAACAACAACAACAACAACAACTACAAATGGACACAAAAAATCCATCTGTGCCAAGGGGCCCATTGTCTCATCAATGTAACAATGAATATTCTTAGTCAAGCTCCATTGTGCTTGCTGTTACACAATACTATTAGCTGGTACAATGACTGTGTTTCTGCACAGAGATCAGTGAAATAAAAACATGCAGTGCCTTATCTCAAGAAGCAGACTTCCTCTTCAGCCACATCATTTAACTCAAATCTTTGTTACTTGTTGGTGGGTACTGTAGTTTTTATCCACTGACTAAAACTTAAAAAAAAAAAAAAAACATTAATTAATAGATGTAATAACAAGATATGATTCAGTGACCCTGTGTAAATGCTAACCTCTTGCAACTCAAAAAACTCAACCATATTTTAAGAGAGTCTGGTGCTGGGTCAGAGAATCTGATGGGTCACAGATTTTGGGTGTTATAATGATGACGCCCACATGAATGTTGGAGAAGGTTCACCAATAATCTGACTTTATACAGTATGCAGCCCTGTGGCTTAGAGGGCAGGTGGAGCACCTTAAACAGACGAGCCAAATACAAACCTAAAGTCTCTTAGAGCACTGTCATAAAGCTCACACCTTAACAACATTTAAAGGCTGAATAAATAACAACAGGCCGCCCTGTTTCAGAGTTTGTTCTATATCTGTTAATAAATGCAGCCTTCATTTGACTGATTATGGAGGACAGGTGCCTTCAGAGAAACACATAGATGTTTTTAAATGGCTGCATCTTATTTAAGTTCTAATAAATACAACCCGTTCTTTCCAGAAGGCTCTGGCAAAAATTATAAATTAAGAAAGGACTGTTTTGTCTCACTACTATTTGCAAAGGCCAGTAATGAACATACGTACATTTCAGTACAATGCTTCACAAACTTTTTCCCTCATGGCCCCCTTTGGATGAATGTACACTAAGTTGAATTTGTCTTCATAAACGACTAATAAATATTGAAGATGTTAATAACAAAATTAAATTTACTACAGATTTTCCTTTCACCATAATTACTTTTTTTTGCACTTGACTTTTATTTTCAAATTCAATCAAATGTAGTCTTATACATATCACAGAGGAAACAAACAAGGTGTATCACATAACAAATGTGCGCTTTGAATCGACCTATCTTGTTCATATTATATACAGAGACAACACAGACACAGGCACCCAAATACAGGGAAAAAGAAAATTAAACTTTGCACACAAAACTTTAGAACAAGACACTTTGTCACATTTTCTTGACTTTAGTTCTGACACGTTTCCTTGATGAGTATCACTGTGCACCTTTGTACACACCATCTGAATCACGTAGACGGTCTATCCTGAAAGCATCTGGGTTTATTTCCTCATTCAACTTTATTTCCTCTCCACATTTTTCCCATGACACCCACGCACCTCCTGCAGTAACTCTGCGCCGCACTGGGGAAGCCCGAGACACAGTTTGAAAACTACTGCTCTGGATGTTGTAACAGTCTTACGTAGACATAACAGTGTTTACATTCTTCATTTATTTTTCTATGGCTTTCACTCCAAGATGGCTGCTCTGCATGACCTTTGACCTTCCTATGGTGGTATATATATATGTATATATATATATATATATATATATAGAGAGAGAGAGAGAGAGAGAGAGTACACAAACAACACCGCACAAATGATGTGAGGCAAGTAAATGGATAAAACTTATACTGTGATGCATTTTATCACTTATTCTCTATTGACATTAACAAACATTCCACTGAACAGATACAAATCTTTAAGGTCAGGTGAGGTAAACATCATCAGCTCAGCGGCAATGGAAATTTCCGAACTTTAGGAAGGTGTGTGAGAGACAGAGGGAATGGCTGCACGGAGCAGCTAACTGGCTGTAAAATTAAAGGGAAGGGGATGAAGTGGAGCTTGTTTTGAGGAAAATCAATAAAATCACAACTTAAGTCTTTGATTTTTTGCAAAATATTTATTTAAAATCTCTTTATGGATCATTTTATACACAGTTATAAGAGTTCAAATGCAGACTGAAATACAAACTGTATCTCAAGTTAATACAAATATCAGAAAATCTAATTTGAACTTCCCTACACATCCAGACTGCTTTCAATAAAAATATATTCCCTTTTTTTTTTACTACAAATAAACTGCATTGAAACTGTATTTATATAAATACCAAGGCACAATTTGTCTTTTCTAGAAAGAATCTAGAAATGTAGTTTCAAAATAAGTCGAAATACACTGGCGTTATGGCAGACACCACTCTGTAAAGATAAAACATCTGTTGATATTTACTGAGCTTTTGATAATTAATCTAGTAAATGGATGTTAATCCAGCGTGGAGCCTCACCAGCACCACAGATACTCCCAGAGTATATGCCCCTTTCACACGTGTGTGTGTGTGTGTGTGTGTGTGTGGTAAATTAGGCCACAAGTCAATAAGGAACAAGTGTTTGGTTCGTGGTGTGGATCCAAGAGAAAGTAAACAGTCATTGTGAAACAGAACATTTTTTAACATTTCCTTATGAAATGCTAAACGCAGCAATGGAGGACTTGCACACAGAGAACTAAAGAGATCCAGATTAGAGTCTGAATTTTCAAATGTCTCTATTTACATCTACTGGCTGTTCAGGAAGTGAGAAATGTGCAATAGTACATCTAGTGCTAACGTTTCGGTCCATGTTGGACTTTGCACTATATGCACTTCTGCACATTTTTTACTGTCTGTTCTCTCTCCCTGACTGCCACACCAGAAGCGAAGACAAACAAAAGACAGTTTTTTTGAAGGCGCAGCTCAATCCTTGTGAACCACTTGTGAAATTCTGCACTTACATGGATGAGAAAAAACTTGCACATGTACCATAAAACTTCAATTAATAGCCTGGGCTACTATTTGCTTAAATCACAGAAATCAACAGGCCTATATTTGGGACAGGCCTTTGATGTCTCACAAAAAACTGTTGCTTAGCAAAGATAGGAAACACAATTAAATTGTTCATTTAAGCCAGTATGAACATTACTTGCTCCAACAGACAGCACATCAAATTGAGAGTTACGTCACTTGAAGATTACGTCATCTGGCACACCAACACAACACCAGTATTTTTAATGTTTTGTTAAAACAATACTCATAACTTGAAATAATTTCTATGAAAAACTCGTTTGATTCTTTTAATGTGAGGACCCTTACAGATCAAAGTAATATGAATAATTTACAGGGTAACTGAGGAATGGACACATAATTTGAGGTAGCCAACAACCCGGTTTTATACATCCAAAGAACCTCTATAAAAAAAGGCATTTAATCAGGACTGGGCTTTTGTGCAGTAATGTGCGGAGACTCTCTAAAAAGAGATGGAAAAAGACAAAGACGCTCCTCCTCCTCCTGAGTGCAGGAATGCTTTCCAGTTAAAGGTGTGTGTGCTTCCTCGTTCATGCCTAATGTTTTTCTAACGTCCTCCGCAGAAAGTCCCTCAGATTACAGCGTTCCACACATTGTAACCACGCCAGCAAAAGTTGCGAGACAAACATCTGCAACAGGTGATCAAAGCAGCTGTTCATTAAATACCATCTGTACTTATCTAATGTGGTTTGGCCACTGTTACATGTTACATAAGGGCCAACAGATATGCGTGTCATATGTCAGTGATGAAACTGACCAGCAGGGCTCAGTGAAGCAGGCGTGAACCTCAGACACAGAGCCACACAGCCAATCACTAAAACACTACTGAAAAGCATCATTTGAAGTGCAAGATGCTGCCACTGCATTGGCTGCAAACATTTGTGCTCTGTATTTCTGTATTGTCCACCTGCAGCTAACTAACTTTAAAACTGTTTATTGGCCCAGAATGATTAATACAGTCAAGCTAATCAAACTGTTCACCATCTATCTATAAATTTGTGTCAGCTCTGTAATTCACTGAGTGTCTGTCCATCCATGGAGAAGGATCTCTTGTTCATGATGTTCATTTAGAGCTGATGCCTTAACTTTTGGTATCTATTTATAAGTAATACACTTAATTCTTTAGTATTTTAACCATTTTGTATACAGTGAATTAAAAAATGTATATTATACTGAAATGTGGTGGCCAGAGTGTGCGACACTTGTTTTCTATGATCAATTTTGTTTCATTTTTCCCCATCAAAGGTCAGCTTTGGTACTTTTCAACCTGTACCCGTGCCCATTTTTTCAAAATAGGTCCAGTATTGAGAGACTGCTGCAGCTGGCAGCGGCGAAACAGGCTGCAATGTAGTCTCTCGTGTGTGCAGCGTCAATGTACATCCACTAAAGGTGCTTGTTTTTGTACTGACATGTTCAGATTGTTCCTCTAAGTGTGTGACAATATTATAGAAAGAATCCCTACAGAGATAAACCTTTTTGTTAAGGAGTAAGATCCTTTTTGTTAAACCAGAAACAGCCCCGAAGTCGCAATCGCCAAACCCACCAGACTCCATTTAAAGAAAGAGTAATTTTAGCGTGCATAGAGCAGCACATTTTCACATCTAACTTGGTGGATTAAAGGTTTATATCAACCAAACCAGAGCTGGTGATTGTTGGAACAGCCGAA